AAATGGGAGAGAGGGGGACTGGGAGCCAAATGCACCCCTATGCAAGGTGGCTGCAGCCAACAGTTTCCCCAGGGAAGAAGCCAGCCAATGACACTTGTCAAGCAAAATATCCAAAATTGCACGCATTTAACTGGGTCACTTCCAAGCTCCTTCTCTCATGTCCTCCACACCCCACTCAGTCTCTGTTGCACCCGACTCTCCGCAAGAGAGAGGACATGGGGCTATATCATCACGTCCATCAGCCGGTCTTTGGATCCATCTTTGTTCTGTGCCACATGCTGTACAAACAAGGGGGCTCCTGGGGTTACCGCAATGCAAATGCAGAGACCCCCAGCTCAAGCAAAACGCAGCACATCAGCTGCGGTCTCAGGCTTTGATGGAGGGGGCACTTCATTCCCCCAGCTGGCAGAAGGGGATTAAAGCAGAAAGGCCTCTCCTATAGCCTTTCATTGCAGAGGGAGTTGCTCTCTCCAGACCCTTGCAGAGCTGCTGCTAGTCACCGTGCCAGAGTAGCATCCTGAAGCAAGAAAAGGATGTGGTGGGCTGCAACTACAACTGCAAAGCCCACCGCAGCATCCTGAAGCAAGAGCAGGGAAGGACCCGCCAGCCTTCCTGTAGCACAGGAAGTGCGGTGCTGAGTGGAGCTGGAAAACATGCTGTTTACAAGCCAAAGCGCAGTTAATCTCCTGTTGTTATTTTAATTGGGTTTAAAAAGCAGGAGCTCGCGACAAAGGGGAGAGTTTGAAGCAACGCTGGGAAGTCAGCCGGGATTTTTCTCCCTTTTTTTGGGCAAAAGCACAGCTTTGAAGCAAGCATTCAGCGGCGTCAGGTGGATTAACCCGGCGGGGCACTGCATCTCCCAGCTTCACCCCATGCTGTTTGGAAACACAAATGCCATTCAGCCTGCTGAGAGCCAGCAAGGCAGCCCTGCGCGGCCACGTGCTACAATGCTCATCCACGCGCCAGTCCCAGTAGGTGGGCAGACCAAATAGAGAGGGACCTCCACATGGACCATCACTGTGCCCCATATCCTCCCCTCCTCCTGCAGTCTCTCTTACCCCTCATGTCCTATGCAACCCCCAAACGCCCACGCTCCCATTGCAAAACCCGTGCTAGCTGGGGTGCTCCCACGCTGCGCTGTGCAACTGTTTGCTTTCTCTGTTGGGAAACACGAGCTGCCGCAGCTGACCAAACAGAGCCGAGGGGCCCCTTCGGTGGAGGCGACGATCGCAAAGGGCAGCACGGGCAAGGGATGGTTGGTTTTAAAATGGTTTCTGCACGCAAGCTGGCTGGGTGTGGACGGCAAAGGTCCCTGGAGCATCAGTGAAGAGGGAGCTACCCTGGCTGGTTTGCTAATGCATGGCTGAATACTAGGTACTACAACATGCCCGGGCCGGTGGTATAGACACCGCTCTCCCCACCCAGGTTTTCATAGTTATTATATGTCATACTTTCACAGGTTCATAGACTTCAATAACCAGAAAGGCCCACGGTGATAGTTCAGTACAATCTCCCACAGAAGCAGCTGCAGGATTTCCCAGCACGAATCCCTTGCTATTAGAAAAGCCTCCAGCCTGCATTAAAAAAATATATTCTGGGGATTGTAAATGCTCCTTTCCTGGAAATGCCAATGCTCTCTTGGGATTATTGGGTAACTTCCTTTTTCAAATCTTGAAATGAGGAAAAGTAAAAAGAGTTTCAGAGGTGCGGGGCCTGCTTTAGGTCATGCCGAGTGCCTCAGCACTTCCACAGGAAGGGATGGAGAAACAGAGCCAGGGATGGACACCAGGCACGCTGCCCTGCCAGCACGGAGACCGGCCTTCCCCTTGGGCAGGGCAGAGGATCAAAAGCAACGCGCCACCTCCTTGCAGGCCTGTCCAGCTGCAAGGAGGCTACAGGGAGCACGTGAACCCCAGAGACCACGCGGCAGCAGAAAGCAGAGCGCCAGGCACGTACTCACCAGCATGGGGAGGAGAAGGTCAGCAAAGTAGACGAAAGCTGCTCCCAGGGTGAAGCCCAAGGCCACGGGGATGAAAGCGAACGCCCCGAAATTCCCAGCTTCCTCGACCATTTCGATGGCAGGCGCCAGGAGCGACCAGTAAGATGCAGCAAGCATGACCTGAGGGATGGAGAGCGGGGAGAGTTAGCGCGCACGTCCCATGGAAAAGCCCTCCGACCATGATCCAGGCACCTGCACTGGGGAGACTCGGGTCTCCCAGCTCCCAGTCTCATGAGCCGTTCCTTCTGCACCAGCGATGGTTGCAAACGGCATCAATTAACCCCAGCTCCCTGCAGGCACTACCCCCCTTGGTGCAACCCTTGAAGGCCACCGGACTTTCCCTCCTCGCTGTTTAACAGCTCAGGTGAGCCCAAGGGAGCAAGGAGCATCCTGCACTGATGCAATTCACCCTCCGCAGCTCAGCAAACTCACCACCCACCTACCCCTGGATCTGCTCAAGGCCACAGGGCAGGAGCAGCCTCCTGGTTCCGTAACACACCGTTTTGCTAATTCAGACCTGCTTGGAGCCATGAACCGGGAGGTGGAGCAGGGCCCGGCGAGCCCCAGTGCTTTTTGGATGGCCACAGTGCAGAAGCAGGGCTCTCCACGGCGTGCTGCAGTCACACCCCAGCAGCATGTGCCATCACACAGGCTACAAACGCTTCAACGTCTTAAACCTTTGCAACAAAAAGAGTGGCCGGGCCATTAAAAACCCAGCAATGACGTGAAAGCCAGCTTCCCTACAGAGCTAATCACTGAAGTATACAGACAAAACGAGGCCAGGATTAAGTGGGAGTCCTACCCAGCCATCAGTTTTCCCCGAACCAGACTCGAGCCAGGAAGAGTGACTCACACACTTGGTAGGATCATCCTCCGGAGGCTTAATGCGCCCGTGATAATCCTTCCAAGGGGCAGCAAGGGGGAATTAGCCCCGTCCTCATATCAGATCATCATGTCGGCAGGACTGGGAATGCCAATTATGCGAGACCGAACACCTCGCAAACCGGAGGAGCCCCTTGCTGATTTTTCCCCACAAAACAGATATGAGAAAGCTTCCAAAGGACCCCATTAGGCTGAAATCCTTACAGTTAATACACTAGCTCCCAAGCTTGTTACCAGCAGCATCTCAGCTTATTAAAATAAGGAATGCAAGCAAAAAACAAAAAAGAAAAGGTAGCTAGGTTCGCTATCCCCAGTAATGCAGATCAGGTCCTTTCTGCATCTCGCACCGAAAAGCCAGCCAAAGCCGATGACTCGGTTTCACCACCTGGCCCCCCTGCTCCACCAGAGGTCTTGCTATAGCTCCTGCTACCAGATGAGCCAACACCAACATGATCTTACGCCGCAGGGTTCACACTGTGAATACTGCTAGGAAATGTCCGTGTCCCCGCGCTTTCGCTATTTTAATAATTCATGGCAATGTTTCCACTAGCTCCAAGATTTTGTAAAACCTTTGGCTTTATTTTAATTAAACATAAGCCAAGCTGATTCCAGCCCTGAAGATATTAAATCAGGAAGGCTTGAAAAAAAAAAAAAAACAAAAAAAATTGCAAGGGAAGCCAGTTTCAATGTGTGTTGAGCACAACGCAGCTTAAGAGGTTCGAGCGTACTCCACTTAAGCAAACGATGCTCCTCGACGGGCGCCTAAGTGCACAACACAATGCCGGTCCCAACTTGCTGCCTGGTGCTTACATCATAAAAACACTTTATTATTTAGTCATATTGCACGCTTCCTTCTTCTCCCCCCAAAAAATTAGCAAGTGACAATTGGAGGGTATGTCTTAAATGAGCAAACAGATTCTCAACAGTTTGGTCAAAAAGAAAATCCTCCCTCTCCTCCCCTCCCTTTCAGTCTGCCTTCCCAAAACAGCATGCAGGTTTTGGGGGGGGCGGTATGCACATAAATACGGTATGAAGTGCACCCGTTGCTTCAGTGCACAGCGTCATCCTGCCCCGCTGACGACGCTGTCCCCCAGTTCGCTGCATGCAAACCGCACCTGCAGCGCGCCGCCTCCCGTTCATCTGCAAGGGGAAGCAGCTGTCAAAGGGGTGCTGTTAAAAAGCTGAAAATGAAGGGAAGCTCAGTTTAATTAGTTAAGTTTAATTAGCTAAGTTTCAGGGCTGCCAATGCTGGAAGCCAAGCATGCGGAGCATGCAGCGCTGCAAGTGCCGTGGTATTACCGGCCCTGATGCTGACCAGCTGCTATGTTTTTCAATGCCCCGAAACGATGAGAAGCTTTGGGAATGAGAGGCACTAGCTGTCTTGGGGGCTGCTGCACGGTGCACCTGAGGATGCTGCTTCTGCTGGGTCTGGATAAATGCAAGGCTTTTTTTCAGTCTTGAGACCATGCACTTAATCCGCGGGCACTGGTAGGAACAGGCGCGCAGGGGACCCAGCTCTGGGCCAAGAGCTACTGCAAAGTTGGTCCTCAGTCTTCTCCTCCCCGCACAGCCCTGAATGAAGGTGCTACATCACACCAAGTGTGGTACCCAGCAAGAAAGGACCTGAGGGCTGCTCTCTTGCTGCACTCACCCACCCTCCATATGCTCCTTCCCCTTTCTAACCTCCTCCACCGGCCTCCTGAACCACCAACGGGTGCTCAGGACCCCCTGCCACATGGACCGGTTACACAACCAGCCATTGCCACCAGCAGCACGAGACTGCTAATTGTGCGGGCTGGAGGGCACGGAGGTTTTCAGTTGGCTTTGACCTTGGTGATTGTAGAGTCAGGCTCCAAGTAACAGCTGCAAGATGAGATTTCCTCACCGTTACGGTAAAAACGTACCCATTTTACCTACGATTCCTTCCCTGACCGCTGCTTTCCTAGGTGCAAAATGGAGTCCAAAGCCAAGATTTGGCTTTAAAAAGCCGTATCATCCCAGCAGAGCATTCTCCAAATTACAGAGAATCAGAAACAAAAAGAAAAAGAGAGAGAGAAACACTAGATCCCAGAGATACTCAGCCAATATGTGGCATTAATACATCCATATTATACCAATTAATTGCCAATGTATTCATTGCCTCCACTCACCTCCTCCCCAGCGTCCAATGTACAAGCCTGGATTAATTCAAAATAATCAGCCCAATACAGTGCTTTCAGCAGGTCTGGCCTCATTACATATCTATAAAATCTGCCTAGCTGCTTGCTTCTGGAGCTGTTCCGCTCTGCAGAGAAAGAAGCTCATTTGTGACCAACCCCCTCGGGATATATCCCACCCGGGATGAACCAGATGTAGCTCCTTCAGAAATAAAACACAACACAGATATTAGTCCAAGGGAGCGGTTCTCAACCGTTTCAGACTCGAGGCACCCCTTGATAGACTCGACGCCCCTCAAAAAAATGCAGATAGAAAATAGCAGAGCCACGTTTCTGTTGCAAAAGACTCCGAAGGACCAATATAAGACGGTTTTAATGCGATGGGTTTGTACGTGAAATCTCTGGGTTTCTCTTCCGAATTATAGTAGCACGGCATTGCATTAAGCATTCAGCGCCCTTAAAAGGATCTCTGGTTGGGCATCGCTGCCCTCAAACACGCTTCCCTCAATCAACTGGAGGAGACGAGGGACCAAAATCAGTCTCTCGTTGCGGGGTGGGTGCTGTCTCGCCCAGAGGGCTTGTTCGGCGACCCTGGGATGAAGCGTGCAAGCAACAGGAGGGAGGTCACGAAAGACAAGCCCTTTAACAGCAAGATGGGAAGAGGCTCTCTAGGTCCCTCTGCACATGAGATAATAGTAGATGGAGCAGCAGGAACGAGGTGGCCAGCAAGGACCAGACAGCCCCACATCCCATTGCTCATACTGGGAGTGATGGGCAATGAAGCAGTCGCACTCGAAGCCCCATGAAACGGGTCTGTCGACAGAGCCACAAGCCGGCTGCAGCAAATGCTTCGCCTTCTCTTATTCTCCCAGCAAAAGCACGTGTCTGGAGGAGCACGGCACAGCCGGGTGTGATTACATTTAAAAAGCTCTCTTCTTTTGCAAGAAATGAGATGCCTATTGCCGTAGACACCGGTCCCCACGGGACCAGGTAAACCTGAGTGCGCCGGGCCTCAGAAGCAAGCGAGCTGTCAAGTTAGACTTACATGCAGCTGTCAAACTTTATCTTTCAAATGCCACCTCCTCAAAAAAACCCCCAGCAACATGGAAACATGAACAACAGGGAGGGGAAAGCACTGCAGAAATAGGTCGATGTGTTACGGTAAAGCATCACTTCCCCAAGGAAGACGGGGGCCGCGGTTTGCTCATCCCCCAGCTCCTGTTGCCCATCAAGTGCTCCCAACTTCAAAGCACCCAAGGGCCACATGTACGGCAACAAGTTGAGTTCAATTAGCCTTTGTGCACCAACGTTGCAGGTCTCCAGCCATGCCAAGGGCAGTTTTGGTTTCTACACCCAGTTTGCAGTCCTGTTACCCATGCTGCATGGACACGTAAGCAACCATGGGGCTACCACGCACGTTCAGCAAATATGGGCAGTTCACGGCTGTGTATGCACCTACCTGAGCACAAGTTTGGGGAAAACAGAGGGAAAAAGCCTTCCTTGTTTTAGCCCCACTCCCAGAGTGGTTAGAGCACTGCCCGGGGAGCAGAAGACTTGGGTTTCAAGGCCTACCTTCTCCACACAAGAGGTTTTGAACCTGCATCCAGTTTCTCCGCACAGCACTCGACCCATCATCCCACAAGCGAGACATTATGTCAGCCCTTCTCCAGCCCCCCGCTGCGTCTCACACCTGCTAGTCGCGGCTTTTTGCCCACCAGAAATGTGTGACCCATACGTACCTAGTGTATGCACTTCTGCAGGCACACATCTGCCCGGCTCTTGGGCAGCCTGCCGAGCTGCGTGGATGCTCCTACGTCCACAATGCGCACGGAATAGCATCGCAACCAAGTTAAGTGCCAAAAACACCATTTACACAGCTGGAAAACATCTACTTTGGCACATGAGGGGTAAGAGAGCATGGGCCATAAGCCAACCCTGCATTGCTAAGTGAAGGGGGTGCAGCTGGATCTCCAACAACTGGCATGGCTTGCTTTAAAAGACAAGGTACTTAACCCCTTAGGCCTCCTATGTACCCTCTATGGTGGGGGAGCCCAGCCGAAAGGCACCACCGCCCCCACCTTT